ATTGCTAGTATGCTTTCAACTTCTATTATTCAGCCTAGCATGACTCCATTTGCTTCTCCATGTCTTCTTATTAAAAAGAATGATGGTACTTGGAGATTCTGTGTGGATTAAAGGAAGTTAAATAACATGACTGTCAAGGATAAATTTCCTATACCTGTGGTTGAAGAGCTATTAGATGAATTAAATGGAGCAGTTTATTTCTCAAAGATTGATCTAAGATCTGGGTATTGGAAAATCAGAATTAAGTCTGAGGACATATACAAAACAACATTCAGAACTCATCAAGGCCATTCTGAATTTAAGGTAATGCCTTTTGGGCTTACTAATGCCCTTGCTACATTTCAAGCCTTAATGAATGAATTATTTAGTTCATTCCTTAGAAAATTTGTCTTGGTGTTTTTTGATGATATACTAGTATATAGTACTTCTATGAATGATCATGTTACTCATTTACAACTGGTTTTAGAAGTACTGAAAAAGAATCAGCTATTTGCCATACAAATCCTAAGAAGATAGAAGCTATGAGGAATTGGCGTATACCTAAATCATTAAAGTCTTTGCGTGGATTTCTGGGATTAACAGGTTATTATAGAAGATTTTTTAAGAGTTATGGGTCAATCAGCAAGCCTCTGACTCATATGCTTAAAAAAGACAGTTTTAAGTGGACTGGTGCAGCTTTGAGTGCTTTTGAAGAATTGAAGAAGGCTATGTGTGTTGCTCCTGTTTTAGCCTTACCAGATTTTGGTAAGAGTTTTTATTTAAAAACAGATGCCAGTTCAGGGGGCATTGGTGCAGTTTTATCTCAAGAGGGTAGGCTTATTGTCTATTTAAGTAAGGCTCTAAGTCCTAGACATGCAACACTCTCTATTTATGAAAGAGAGTATCTTGCTATACTTTTGGCAGTTTCTAAGTGGAGGCATTACTTGGAGAGTAAATCTTTTGTGATTAAAACAGATCATGAACCACTAAAATATCTTTTGGAACAAAAGTTGACTACTTCCATTCAAAAGAAAGGATTGACTAAGTTAATGGGTCTGGATTATAGTATTCAGTACAAGAAAGGCAAATCAAATGTTATTGCTGATGCCTTATCTAGGCAATGGGAAGATCAAGGTCAGTTCCTTGCTATGGGTACTACCCTACTCATTCCTAGTTGGGTTCAGGATATGGAAGGAAGTTATAAGGAAGATGCTATAGCTATGCAATGGATTTCAGTTTTATCTGTTAATCCTAATGCTGATATTAAGTAGAAGTATTCAAGAGGTATCCTTAGATATAAGAATAGAGTTTATATTGGGGATGCTGGGTCTCTTAGATTACAGATACTTCAGACACTGCATGATTCACCTTATGGTGGTCATTCTGGAAGTCAGGCTACCTATCAAAGGATTAGGTCTTACTTCTATTGGCTTAGGTTGAAGGTCATGGTAGCTACTTATGTAAGAGCCTGTACAGTTTGTCAACAGACTAAGGTGGAGCATGTGGCCAAACCTGGACTATTACAACCTCTACCTATTCCTCAACAGGCTTGGTAAGTAATTACTATGGACTTTATTGAGGGCTTGCCTACATCATTGGGGAAGAATTGTATTTTTGTAGTGGTTGACAAGTTTACTAAATATAGCCATTTTTTGGCATTAACACATCCTTATACAGCAGCTGGGTGGCTAAATTATACCTAGATCAGATCTATAAGCTTCATGGCCAACCTAAGATGGCCATTTCAGACAGGGATAAGACTTTCACTAGCCTCTTTTGGAGAGAGCTAATGAAGCAGTTGGGGACTCAGACTCTATTTAGCACTGCTTACCATCCTGAAACGGATGGACAGACAGAAAGGGTAAACCAATGCTTAGAACAATATCTAAGAGGTCTTAGTTTTTTTCAAACTAAGCAGTGGGCTAAATGGTTGCCTCATGCTGAATGGTGGTATAATACTACCTACCATACTGCTCTAAAATTGACACCTTTTGAAGTTCTATATGGCTATAAGCCACCTACAATGGTCTGGCAGACAGACAGTCCAGTGTAAGCAATATCAGAATTAATGCAGAGCAGAGAAGACATCAGGCAATTGGTTAAGTTTCAGTTAGAACAGGCTCGTAATAGGATGAAGCAACAAGCAGACAAAAACAGAACAGACAGAACTTTTCAAGTAGGAGATTCAGTTTACCTGAAATTACAGCCGTACAGACAAACTTCCCTTGCCCTGCGAATGAATTTAAAGTTAGCAGCAAGATTTTATGGACCTTACAGAGTTATGGAAAGAATTGGAGATGTGGCTTACAAACTAGATTTACCTGTGAACTCCCGTCTACACCCAGTTTTTCACGTGAGTCTTCTGAAGAAACACGTAGGTAATTCAGTCGTTGCTTCAACGGAACCTCCTGCCATAGACGAAGAGGTCATATTCGAATAGAGCCTTATAAGATTCTGGGTAGAAGAATAATAAATCGACAGAATAAACCTATCACACAGCTGTTGGTGCGATGAAAAAACCTTGATGAATCCAGTGATAAGTGGGAGGATTATACTGTCCTCAGAGGTCAGTTTCCAGGCTTTGATCCTTGGGGATAAGGATCGTTTCCAACGACGGGTACTGTGATGGTTGGAGGAGATGAGCGTGGAGATGTAGGAGAAATCGGGGGAGATGAGTGGAGATGTATTAGAAATTGGGGCAAATAGAAGTCGATGGTTAGGGATTAAGGTAGGAAAAGGGATTGAAAAAAGGGAATTAGGGATTGAAGATCGAGAAGGGGAAATGATGAACTTACCTTTGAAGCAGATCAACTCGTTTACCCTGTGGAGCAGTTGGAGTCTTCAGCCCAAAACACGTAGAGCAGCCCAAGTTATTTACGTTTTTAACCCTGTAACTAAATAAGACTGGAGGAGATGTAATTGAATTTTCAGATTGTGAATGAAGTATCTTTTCTATTCTCTAAATTTCTCTCTTTTCTATTACCTCATTCTTGCGTTCTTCTCTAATTTTCTCAAACTACAACACGTTTTTCCAATAAACGCCACTATAGATGGACCTATTGCGAAGTTTTTAAAAAAATGCCACTATTATTGCGGCTTTATTAATAAAACGCCATTATAGATGGATCTATCGCGGCGTTTGTCAAGAAAATGCCACTATTGTTGCCCCGAAATCGAATATATTTAGAAAATAGGGGCCCCTTTTTAAGAATTTGTACAGACCCCCTGAAAACCCTGCCACGGCCCTGGTTGGGTGGGCATGGGATTTTTGTGTTGAGTTGTATTGTGAACATACATTTATATCTCCCCTAAAAAAATATTCCATTCGGAGTGAACAAGGGCACAAGGCCACTCTCTGCCCTCTTCCGCCGTCTTTAGCTTAAACTAATGAAATGATCTATTGATTCCGATACTAATGTTTTAAGGAATCAAATTAAAATATTTTAAACTTTAGTAAGCAATTTACAATTTAGACGTAATTTAAAGATGTCCTTTGTAATAAAGCTCTTTAAAAATAAAATACTAAATATTATATCTATAGGTATGAAAGGGTACAGACTACATACTACTATTTGCATGCTTCACACAATGACACCACGTTGGATTGAATAGTTTGATCACCCTACCGCGAACGAATCCAGTTGAAAAATTAGTAAAATTCCAGGTTTAGCCCTTCAGAAAAATAATAGTTTTAAACATGATTAAATTTCGTGGGAACCAAGACAACTAGATCATAAACAATACTTAAATATTGCCATAAATATCAGAGCCGTCCATCATTAGGTCATTATCATTTATTACCTATAAATAACTCTTCCTTCAGTCTCAAGAAAATCACTTAAAGTTGCAAATCTCAAGAAAATCACATAAAGTTGCTAACCTCAGTCAAACCGCCGTCCTTCTCTCTCGACTAATACATATATTTCCTGTGTGTTTCATTGTCTCTCTGAAAAGTTTCTCTTTAGATTCATCTACTCTGACATGGCTGCTTCAAATATTGTTGTGATTATGGATTTCGACAAGACGATAATCGATTGTGATAGCGACAACTGGGTGGTCGACGAACTAGGTGTTACTCATTTGTTCAATCAACTCCTATTATGTCCAATTTATATCTAAATGGAATGCAATCTTCATGAACATGTTATATACATGAAATGTGATATAGAAACACGTCTAGTCATCAAAATTATATTTGGCAAAGAATCACAAATGTCATGTAGATTTTATGCAATTTATGCTATACTAGCATATTAATTATGCCTACTACAATGCACCAATTGCCTCATATGCAACCAAACGTTCTTAGAGAGCAACCAAAGCATAATGGGCATATCATATTAATAGAGATTGACATGTCAAGACATACCAAAATCATCAAGTAATTTCAAACACATGTAACATACCAAACTTCATGATACATGTTCATATTATACATAGCATTACTTACTCAAATGTGTCATGCATGATCATCACCTATACAGGCCTTTATCATACCATATCACCAAAATCCCACCATCAAACCATAAACATTGCCTTAATCATATACATAATTCATACAAGACCTCATGTACTATCATTTGAATTCAAAATGGGACATAACATTTCCTATTTTTATTTACATACGCCACTAGACTAGCTAGGAAAGAAACTCGTATTTTCAAATGGATGTGTTGTGATTTACTGTTAATCGTTACAAAAGAAATGTTGTTAGAGACTAGAATGAAAAAAAGGAAAAAACATGTACCAACTTCAAGCATACGGAAAATCTTGTTAACTTTGTCCGGAAAGAGACACGTACGTTATATATTGACACGTGTTAATACAAATATGAATACGAAAGCTCAGCTCCATATGTATTGTTGTATAACATGGATTCTGAAGCAGGGCAGTGGTACGCTGCTGCAGGCATTATAGAAATGATGGAGATAAATATTATCAGAAATCAAGCAGCAGCATACAGTTTGATATATTCCTCACAAATTTAATTCATAACTCGGAACGCAATAGTTTTTACTCTTTTTTTCTGCATCGTGGCATGTTGCTAGGTTATATTCTTGATGTACTTATATTTGATAATAACACTACATGTTTGATCTTATTTTCAAGCCAATATTCGCTCATATCACTGATAATTTCCAAAGTTTTTATATGAATCTCTCCTGCAACTTGACCAGTATTCAGCTACCAGCTTAGAAAAGGAAGAGTTTGTCGCCATCAGGTTCGAGGGCTCATCGTATTCCAGCAATTTACCTGCAGATATTAATAATCATTCAGTGTTTGAATTCATTTGATTGGTTGTATATTCCGGGATTCGAATTTCAATGTCGCAGTAATTTGATTTTAGCTGGGATCACTGATTGACATTAGAAGCAGGAACCAAGAGATTTACCATAGGAGAGTACCATGACCATGTCACTGTCTAGAACAGTTGGAACTCTATGAGCCACTGTTATCACCGTGCAATTTGAGAACTCTTCTCTGATAATTCTTTGCAAAATGGCATCAGTTGCAGAGTCTATTGACGCAGTGGCTTCATCCAGCACCAGGATTCGGTTTCGTTTCAAGAGAACTCTCCCAAGGCAAAAGAGTTGCCGCTGCCCCAAACTCCAGTTTTCACCTTCATCACTCACTGTCAATCCAACAACAACAACGGCATAACAATAGTTTTCGGTCAATACGATGGCTGAAAGATAATCTACCAAAAGGCATTAAGTAAATAGTTGCTAAATTTCAACTCACCAGATGAATCCAGCTTGTTTGGCAGACCACTGATTGTTGTTTTAAGTTGACACTTCTCCAAGGCCTGCCACAAGAATATTGGCGTAAATTCGAAAAGTTCATTGTTGGGAAACATTTTGATGTTAACATTCATCATATGTTGGTTCACCTTCCATATTTCATCATCTGAATAGAGGCCCAAGGGGTCTAAGTTAGTTCGAATGCTGCCTCGAATAGAGTTGGCTCTTGAGGAATGATGCTAAGCTTCATTCTCAAATCCTTCAGTCCCATAGAGCATATATCAAGTCCATCTATAAGAACTTTCCCACTTGCAGGTTCTACTAGCCGGAACAAGGCACTTATGAGCGTAGTTTTTCCACTTCCGGTCCGTCCAACTACTCCTACTCTTGTCCCTTCTTTGAAAATGCAAGAGATTCCCTTAAGAACCAACGGAGCATTCGAACGATATCTTATCTAAACAAAGCATCGAAACGACTAACATGAATTAGTTGTATGAAAACATACAAGACATGGACTTGGTTCAAAGAATATGCACCCTTTGAATCATTTTCCAGTTTGGATTCTTTAATTTACCTTCAGTTCTTGCAATTCTATTCTACCCTTAGAGGGCCAAGAAGATGGTGGTCTGTTATCTTCTATAATTGCTGGAGGTTCTTCAGGTATGTACATGAACTGTTTTATCCTTTCAACCGAAATCAAGTAGTTCGATAAGCTGCAGTACCAACGAGATGTGAAAATTTGTGTGCCGGTCAGTGTTAAAGAATAAGAGAGAGATAGTCCAACAAGTCCTGCAGGTCGAAATTTCCAATATTAATGGCTTTGAACATTCTCTACTTGCCATAAAGATTGTTCAATACAAATTATATTTACCTGGTGTGACTTGGTTTTTCGGAAGGAGGAGAAGTAAAAATGCAGCAGTGAATAGAGTAAGGTTTTGAAGTGCTTCGATCCTTAGAACTAACCATTCCATGGCTGCATTAGAAAGAAAGAAAAGTGTGGCATCTTTGTCAACAAGCTTCTGGTAATTTTTAAAGAACCTATCCACCATGTTAAAAGCTCTTATTGTGACCACTCCGAGCGATGTCTCGGCTGCATAATTCATAACGGGAGCTTTCGTTGTACCATTAATTCTTATGAGTTCCCTTGCAGAGGACATATAATACCCCTGCAGTTTGATGAACAAAGATATTAGCCCTTTCACCTTGGCTGCAAATGAGAATCGAGAAAAACGAGTGAAACGAAAATGCATCCACCTGAATGTAGTATACTGCTACCATAGCAAGAACAGCGACTATGAGAACTTGCCATGTAATAGAGGCCATGATTCCAATTGTTGCCATGACTTCAGTTGCACCGGCTGCCATAAAGATTATCCCGAACGGTATGTCGAAATCAAGAATACTCATATCTGATGAAGCCTGCAAGAGTTTATATAAAACAAAATTTAGTATCTTAGGAAAAGAACAAAGGGTACGTGAAACATTATGTTAACTCCTTGCTTATCCATAGTCGATCTTACTCGGGTCAGAATCCTCCCAACAGGAGTTGAATCAAAGAAAAGCATTGGAGCTTTGAAGATGGCATTGTTGAGACTAGAGAAGAAGGCTTTGGAAGCTTTTAATCCTAGATGAGCAGCATAATGGGATCTAAAAAACACGAAAACGGCACTAAGTGTGGCAATTCCAGTGTAAACTCCTATCAACATACTGTTGGTCATGTTAGGCATTTGAATAGCAAATGCCAGCCAGTAGGTCGAAGCAGCCTGAAGAACAACAAAGGTAGACTGAGTTAATATGCTTAAAGATAGATAAACAGATCCTTTCGAGATTGAAACATAATCCATGAACGGCTTCCACCCAACATCACCAATCTCCGTTTCTTCATCTTGTGTTAATTGTATTCCAGATGGACCCTTCACCGAGATCTCTCCCTCACTGTTCTGTTTAGTTGGATAACATACATTAGACATCTCAGGAGATATCCCTTGAGACTCTCCTCGACCTTCATCGTTCCAAGAACCCAACGCTGTTATGGAATCTCTATGAGCATTCACAACTTGCTCAAATGCTGTCCCAGCCATTAGTAGCTCTTCATAGCTTCCTGATTGAGTAATTTGCCCACCATCCATAACCTAAGCCAAAAAGAAAAAACCAGCCTTTAGACAAACCGGAAAATCACATCGATAGATGAAGAAAGTATAAACGTAAATCAGCACTTAGTATTTACCAGAATTCTATCAACTTCCGAGAGAAACTCCACTTGATGAGTCACCAAGATGACAGTTTTATTCTCTAGAGCTTTCATTACACAATCCTGCAGTCATAAGAAGCTAACTTGATTATGCTGCAAAATAAAATTAATAATCATTGTATCAAATGAAGCTTTCTCACATTGAACAAAACAGAAGCTGTATGTGCATCACAGCACTGAAAGGGTCATCAAGAAGATAGATATCAGCGTCGTTATAGACAGCTCGAGCGAGTTGAATCCTTTGCTTCTGCCCTCCACTCATGTTAATCCCTCTCTGACCTATTTCCGTGAGATCGCCATGATCAAAACTATTGATATCTTTATCCAGAGCACAAGCTTTGATCGCCTTATCATATTTGTCTGCATCCATTGGGTTGCCATAGAGTATGTTCTCGCGAATCGTCCCACTCTGGATCCAAGAAACTTGAGAAACATAGGCAATGGATCCAAACATGTGAACCTATCAACAAAAGTTAATGGAAAAAGAACTAAATAAGTGAAGAAGATATGATGTTTAGTATATGTACTAGTAGGAATATTTGTTTTGCAACTCACAGTTCCTGAAAGTTTCGGTATCTCTCCCAGCATTGCATACAAGATTGAGGATTTTCCTGCCCCGACAGGTCCGCAAACAGCGATCTTTTGCCCTCTTTTTATTTCCAACTCAACATTTCTAAGCGTTGGACTTGCTATTTCAGGAACCCAACTGAAATTGCCTGCTTCTACTATTACACTTTTATCAGAATTCTGCAGGGGAAATCTCCTTACTTCATCATTCCCGAGTTCATCATCAAGCAGAAAAGCATTGATTCTGTCGAACGAAACTTTGACTTGTATAAGAATCGCAAGTGCCTCGGGTAACATTCTAACAGGTTCTGCCATGGTTCTTAGAGTTGCAAGGACTGTGAAAATGATTCCAGCATTCAATGGGGCACTCCGTAATAGAACACATCCCATAAAGACAACTGAAGAAACAATGGTTGGAGAGATCCAATAGAAAACGGTGCCATAAGGCCTCACAAACTGTTGTTTAGAAAGCCATTTGAACTCGTTGCCACGTAGGGATTCGATCAAACCTTTGAATTTCGCCTCCCAGGACTGTAACTTGATGATCTTCATGCTATTTAATATTTCAGAAGTGGCTCTCAATCTCTCATCTTGTGAGATCATAAATTGAGATTGGAATTTTTGTATAATCTTCGCTAATGGCATATTAAGGAATCCGCATACGACAAGAGGGACTATGCCGGGTATGGCACCGACACCAACGACTGAGAAAAGCATTCCAATAGACATGAAAAGCTGCAATACGAGACTCCAAGTCAAATGAAACCACCATGGAAACTCTCCCATTCTATAAGCATCTACTGCTATGTAATTCACAATCTCCCCTGCAGAATGTCTCCGCCTTCCTAAACTCGAAAGCTTCAGCTGCTTCTGATATACTGCCACCATTAATGCAGATCTCATCCTCATTCCGGACCTCCTCGAAGCAAAAAACCAATACCTCTGCGACAACGACTCGACAACCTTTGAAACAATGAGACATCCTAGTAAAACAAGACCCTCCAGCAGGTTTCCCTCTTCCTGGTTCGAATAACTTACAAAAGCATAGAGCAATAAAGGCAGTGCTGCAACTGAAGCTGTCCTAAAAACTGCACAAATTGCTATAAATATGTTCTCCTTAAAGTACACTTTTGTTATGGCCCTAAGAACCAGGTTTCTCCCATCATTTGAGCTTTTGTCTCTTGTAAGCGACTCCCATGCATAAGCAAACTTTTGGTATGCCACATTGGATTCATCTTCTGTACTAATGGAAGGGATGTCTTCAAGGGTTAAGGGTCTCAAATAACCCCTTGAAAGCAAAGGATTAATCCAAGAAAATGACAATTTGTTAAAGAAATTGGTCTCACAAAGTTCAATCTGTTCTTTTTCTTCCTTTTCCTCCAATAGAGGTTCTGATAGACTCTCATTTTCCTTGCTCAAATCAATAAAGTTTCTAAAGGCACAAAATAGCAGCAAGATGTTCACCGGCCATGGAACAACGTCGAATATTTCGATCCGGTGTGTTCTAAATAGAACCTCGATATGAAGAACAGAAACCAATAATGCGAACGACACCCACCAAGCGAAGACGAGAATCTTAACCGGTTTCGTTGTTCGAACAAGCAATGAAACTGATAATGAAATCCAAATCAATCCCCTGTCAAGCTCAACCAACCAGGCCAAGCTATTAAATCCATCAGTTCTTGTTATTAGATTCCACAAACCAACACTAAGATGCAGAACACTAACAAGAGTACAACAAATGGATACAACAATGGAGATATTGTCCTTCCGGTTAACAACTCTACGGTGCTGTTTTCCGACAGAACATACAAACAAAGTAGATAGAAAACAAAGAGGAACACCAGGTTTACGACATCTATGATGGTTCTTTGAATGCAAAAAGAACCGAAATCCAGTTTCCCTTCACAAATTAAAGAGTACCCCCCTGTATATCCATCGCAAGATTTAGAATTAGCATATTATTTTCATATACGAAAAAGCCAAAACAAAGGTGAGAGACATGAACATTTGGAAGAGAACTTCCAACAGGAAAACACTGAGATAGAGTACAAGCATATTGTCTGCATTAAAACAGAATTGAATGGCCCATGTTGTTCTCTTATACTTAAACCTTTTCTTTTTAAGAAAATCTTAATCAAGATCACGTAAAAAGCGTTAAATGTTCATTCAAGATTGTGATGATGAAGAAGAAGTATATAATGAAAATGAGCAAATAAGGCTGTATACCAATTAAGTTCCTCAAGGAAGCCATAGATGAGAAATGAAGATTCTAGTGTAAAGCTGCCTGCAAATCACACAATACCAGACTTCGGAGTTCAAACCCTATGTGTTTTGCTAAAATACGCTTCAGCTGTTACACAGAAGATGCCATCAAAGAACCGTAACAACCATTTATATCACCTTATTTTGATTTTCATGATCGGTGTTTTTGGCTGCTTTCTGTCTGTAGATCCATTGGAATATGCAAATTATATAAAAATAGTGGGTAAACTATATGTTTAGTACCTAAATTATTTGTTTTGTTTTAATACTTAAAATTTCATTTGTTTCATAATCATACTTAACATTTACTTTTTGTCGTTTTGGTACATCGTCGTTAAAAACTTAGCGAAACTATTACAACATGACACATTTTTATAGATAAATTACATCATTCATCACTTAAATATCTTCTCACTCCTATTTTAGTATTTGAAGTTTATTTTTTTTAATTTAATTACTTAACTTTCAAATTACTCCTAATTTAATCACTCTAACTTTCAAATTTAATTTTTTTATTTTAAATATATATTAATAAAATAATAATAAAAATATCATATTACAAATTATTAATAAAATAAATTAGAGTGACTAAAGCATGAGTAATTTGAAAGTTGAGTAGTTATGTTAAAAAAATTAAACTTTAGTGACTAAAATAAGAGTGAGAAGATAGTTAAGTGATGAATGATATAATTTATTTATAAAAAATGTCATACAACAGTTCCATTAAGTTCTTAACGGTGGTATATTAGAAAGAAATAAAAAGTACATGTTAGATATAATTTTAAAACAAATGAAAGTTTAAGTACTAAAAAAAATAAAATTAATAATTTAGGTACTAAAAGTGTAGTTTTCTCAAACATATAATCCTTCAGTGTATGCAACTATGCATTAGTGACTATCCCTGTAGCACATGTCATACACAGTTGGCAATTGCGACAGCTATCTTTCTCGGACGTCGATGAGAAAATGTACTGTACAAATCTTTGTCTGGTCTGGGCGAGAAAAAAATCAACTTTATTCGAAAACTTAATTTTTTTTATCTGGTTTAATTCGAAAATTTTAACTATAATTAGCTTTGAGTCATAATTCGATAAATTCAACTCAAGAAATTTTAAATTTGAGTCGAATTATAAAATAGAATTTGAATAATAATTAGAATAACCCAAAAATTTTAATAATTATTAGATTAATTCTCAAGTCTAAGTTGAGTCTGTCGTAACCGTCTTTCGGTTGGGCTCGAAATTGGGCTTCGACTTGGATTAAACGAATTGGAGTCGCCACCGACCACTTTAGAGCGAATTTAGGCGGGTCGGACACCATCTTACCTGATCTGCATTGTACCAGAAACGTGTCGAGTTCGGGAGTCGGTTACGGTCAAGGAAGGATTAGCACCCTTGAATCGCCCTTTCGGTACCAATTAATTTGTCGGTTGTCTTTATAGCAAAAATTAGAAAATTAAAATTAAAATTTAAATTACTCGATTCGAATTACTCACCTTTGATCAATTGGAATTTCTCTACAAAGTCAAAATTGTTAGGGGAAGAGAAAGAAAAAAAATAAATATTGAATAAATAAAAGGAAGGAAAAATAATAATAATACAAATGCTAGATTTTAAAAGTAATAAATTATTTACAACACATTAAAATTAAGGTAAAAATGAATAACTAAAAAATGCTAAAATTAAAAAGGAAAAAAAATTAAAGGACTAAATTAAAACAAATTAAAATGGATGGATTAATCAGGTACTAAAATTGAACTGCAAAATAAAAAAAAAGTTAGGGGCCAAATTGTGAAAAAATGTAAGTTTAAAGTAGGGACTGAATTGCATTAATTGAAAATTCAGAGAAATAATCAATGTACATGTGACCAAATTGAAATAATGTGAAGATTATAGACAAATACAAAAATATATAACTATTGGATGACATGTTTCCCACTTAGACCAAAAGATTTGGGAAAACACAAATTCCTAGGGCTCCCACGTGAAAATGAATATGCCCCCTATTTTAATTATGCTTCAGCAGTGCTCTCTCTCCTTATCTCCTCCCCCTTTTTGCTTTCCTTTTCCCATTTTACAACGCAATTCCAAGTAAAAGAAACAGAACCCTTGAATTAAATCCATAATTCCTTTCGTGTTCTTGCATGTCTCTTCCATAATACCCCATCTCGATCCAAAACAAATAGTTATTTTCTCCTAATCTTGTTTTTATAACTTGTAGTCCATCCATACCACAAAAATAACAAACTATCAAAAAATCAAACAAAACGAGGACTCACCTTCGATTTGAGGCTTGAAAGATAACAACACTTTCCACGGTAAACAACAAAAATTTTCCAGCGACCGACAGTGGCTCTTAATGGCGGAAGACAGTAGCAGTGAGCTTCCCCTCTCCTCTTTGTATATTTCCTTCGATATTTTCGAACGTGTTTATTATTTCCGATTGATATGTGGATGTTGGGATATATTTCTTGCTACCGGTTCTCTTGCTTTTCTTTCGAACCTTCCCTCTATTTTGCGTATGATTTCTTGTGTATCTCGTGGTATTCCCCTCCCTTGTGTGTGTGGGTCGTGTTTAATTTATAGTAAAATACAGTCCTATTTTTAGGAGTTTAACTCCGTGCGAAACACTAACGACGTGGTTGTGTTTGTTGTCGTTCCTTGCGCCGAAAGATGCGGACTGCTGGGGGTGAGAGATTCGGCTTTTGGCTAGCCGAACGTTGAGGTGATGTGGCGCTGGGGTCTTCGCTTGTTGCTGGGTGGCTGAGTCTTGTATAACTTGGGCCAATGTTAGGACATGTATATGTTAAATAAACACATGAATATAATTAAAATTATGCTATATAATATAATTAAAATTATATAATATAATTTGTGGTACTAATAAAAAGACGAAAATTATGTGTCTACAGCTGCCCCTCTTTGTCATTTTTCGTGGAACGAAAAATAGGACAAAGATAAAAAGACACAAATTTTCGTTCGGTGAAGTTGAAGAATAACTCCCTGTCGAATTAGATTGCAGATGGCTCCTCCGTTGTGAAGTCCAATCCATCTTGAAATGATATGGAACTGAAGTCGTAGTTCGGAATCAGAATGTGGCTTCTCGTTGCCAAATTGCAGTCAACCTCGGTCTTCTTCCTAGTTTAAAGACCTTGGTGAAAACTCGAATGGAAAATAGTACCTGGACTCTACCCAGTGGTTGATTTCGAGCTGAATGAATCGAACTCGAAAGGTATTCGTTGACAGATAGCTTTTCTCGAGTTAAGTTATACTGTCAGAAAGAGGTTTCTTGCCACTAAGGCACGGCTAACCCGAGTCTTATTCTCGACTTGAAAGCCTCGAATGCAGTCGGACAGTAGTGAATGATGTGTCATCGGGCTGAATGGAATCGAACTCGATAATTTTATTAACATATAGCGCTTCTTGCTTTGGGCTATGTTGTAAATGATGTGCCTTTGAGCTGAGCGTAGTCGAACTCGAAGGTCTTTGGTGACAGATAACCCTCATAGCCTTGAGTTATGCTGTAAATGATATGCCCTCGAAGCTGAGTGTAATCGAACTCGAGGGTCTTTGGCAGATAGCTCTTCTCGACTTAAGCTATGCTACAAATGATGTGCCGTTGAGCTAAGCGTAGTCGAACTCAAAGGTCTTTTGCCTTCTAGCCTTGAGTTATGCTGTAAATGAAGTGCCCTCGAAGCTGAGTGTAATCGAACTCGGGGGTCTTTGGTTGGCATACAACCCTTATAGACTTAAGTTGTGCTGCAAATGATATGCCGTTGAGCCGAGTGTAGTCGAACTCAAAGGTCTTTTGTTGGCAGACAACCCTTCTAGACTTAAGTTGTGTTGCAAATGATATGCCTTGGAGCTGAGCGTAGTCGAACTCGAAGGTCTTTGGTTGGCAGATAACCCTTCTCGACTTAAGTTATGCTGCAAATGATGTGCCCTCGAAGCTGAGTGTAATCGAACTCGGGGGTCTTTGGCAGATAGCCCTTCTCGACTTAAGCTATACTGTAAATGATGTGCCGTTGAGCTGAGCGTAGTCGAACTCAAAGGTCTTTTGTTGGCAGACAACCCTTCTAGACTTAAGTTGTACTGCAAATGATATGCCTTGGAGCTGAGCGTAGTCGAACTCGAAGGTCTTTGGTTGGCAGATAACCCTTCTCGACTTAAGTTATGCTGCAAATGATGTGCCCTCGAAGCTGAGTGTAATCGAACTCGGGGGTCTTTGGCAGATAGCCCTTCTCGACTTAAGCTATACTGCAAATGATGTACCGTTGAGCTGAGCATAGTCGAACTCAAAGGTCTTTTGTTGGCAGACAACCCTTCTAGACTTAAGTTGTGCTGCAAATGATATGCCTTGGAGCTGAGCGTATTCGAACTCGAAGGTCTTTGGTTGGCAGATAACCCTTCTCGACTTAAGTTATGCTGCAAATGATGTGCCCTCGAGGCTGAGTGTAATCGAACTCGGGGGTCTTTGGCAGATAGTCCTTCTTGACTTAAGCTATGTTGCAAATAGTTTGTTTGAAAAAAAAATGGCTTCCCTTAACGAGTCGGAGCCGGTCATGATTCTTCAGGTGATTCCTCTGAGCGAGAACTAAGTAAGACAATCTTTGGATAACTCCCATTTTATGGGAAAGCCCGTTGATGAATTCTGACAACCAAATATCTTCTGTTGTGGAATTGAAATCTGGCTTGAAGACATAAACTGGAAACATGTTGCTCATTGTTGAGTTGAGCTGAACTGAATTTGATCTGAATTGGTTCTCGAACCCATCTGAAATTGGTTCTGAGATCTGTAAATATGTAAAGTCGGTTGAGGTGTAGCTTCTTGCTGCTGAGTTACACCATCGTTCTTTAAAGGTGCTTGCAAGTCGAGTAGCCTTCATCCTGAAGTCGAAGCTTGACTCTGAAAGCTGCAAAATTATGCATGCTAAAATGATGGATGTGATACACCTAAGTATGTCTAAGATGCATGCAACATGAATAAATTATATGTTATTTCTTGGATGGAGTCTCGTGCTTTGTCTGCCAATCTGGTCCATGGAATCGATCGTGCCCCATTTGCTTCTCGAGCTTGGGCTTTACAGACATTTCATATCCGAGATTGTTCTGTTTGAAAATGTTTTTCTCATT